CACATTAATCCTTGTTTTCGAAGATTCTAATGACATGAGCTTGGATACCACGTAATTCTTTTGGAAAATCTTTGTATCTATATTGTCTCGCACTGATATTTTCTTTATTTTTCAAATAAAAAAACAATCAACATTGATCTCTTATCTTTCTCCCTATCAACAATGTTAGTTATCATATCATCATTTTGGGAGATGCACATGCAAAGCCATCAAAAAAGGGTGGATCTAAGAAAACGGGACACTAAAAATCCTCCATATTGCCTCGGGAGGCGAGACATATCGTGCATCCTGAAACCGTTTTATCTCATTAATGGCAACATATTGTTCATCTGGATCAATATTGATAACTTGTTTGTCAGCCCTTGTAAATATACTTAAACACATATTTCACAGATGTTTTCCTGGAGCAAACCTCAATATTTAAAAATAAGACACAATGTATTCCATATCTTTTTAGTTCACGGGTCAAATGGGAAAGTTGAAAGATTAAGTTAAAAAGTGAAAGTGCTACATTATAGAACTAAGAGTTTATTTTGGAAACATGTCGTATTCTAAAAAGTTGCATTTCGAAAACATCTTCTACATAACTCACAACACATCGGTTCCAAATAACTCACATTCTATCTACAGCTATCAATTATCAATAAGCGTCGAGCATCGATTGATGTGTAAGTTGTTGCGTCGAATTGTTTATTTTCGTACACATGTCATATTCTAGATATCACATAGCAAACACATCATTTTTTATTAAAAATAGTGAAATTTTCACAAAAAAAAACACTATGTTTTCAACCTTTTATCCACAAACATGACGTGATGTCTAGGTTTTTAGAAGTTTGGACTTAAATTGTAATTTTTATTAAACTATAAGGATATTTTTGTAATTTAATATTTTATTTATTATAAAACATGTAAATTAAATTATATAAGAATTATACTTCAGTTACTTTCCTACATAATTTAATTATTAAAAAAAAACTTAAATTTGTTTTTGCCTTTTTAGTTTCGCCTTTTACATCAAACAAAAATGTTTGTAAAATATAGTTACTATACAAACTATTGAAAAAACGCTTGTAATGGAAACACTTAGAATGTTTTTTCAACATAAGATAAACTTTAAAATGTTATTTAACAAGAACACTTTTGAAAAGTCTTTATTTTAAATTTCAATTACAACATTAAGTACCAACATCAATACCGTGGAGGTAAAACTGGCATATACGTTTCTCATTTTTTTGAAACCAACACTTGGTATTACCCATGGTTTTGAAAACCGAACCGGAGACCGAACAAGCCGTCTTAGCGGTTTGATGGTTCAACTGGTTCAACCGGTCGAGTCTCCAAAACAAGAAAAACCGGACGATGTCATAATTACATTATTATTACTTTTAATTATATACAAATGATTTTTTTTTAATTCCAGATTTTTACTGGTTCGACCGAACTGATTTGAATGGTTTTTGCTGGTTAACATGATGAATGGTGTTTTGGCCTCTAATAACCGGATCCGGTACCGGTCCGTGGTTGAACCTGTCGGTCCAATCTGGTTTTCAAAACATGGATAATAACATGATAGCTAATAAAACTGTAGTTACATACAACAAACAGATATGCAAAAAAGAGTACCATAGTATCCAGGTTACCAACTTAAAGACCGAAAAACTAATCAACAATTAAAAAAACAAAAAACCTCCATTATCAATGTTTACAAGAACAGAAAAAGACAATATACAACAAAAATAAGCTAAAGACTTGTAATACATTTTTTTTTCTTAAGAAAATGAAAATAAGGAGAAACATATAGTGTAGAAAAAGCTAAAAAAAAATATAAAAACTCATGCACTACATCTTTGAAGTTTAAGAAACAAAGCATGATCTAACTCTAACTATAGTCCCAAAATGCCAGCCGGTGAAAAGAAAAGCGTGCACCACTTGAAGTTGCTCCAAACCTAAGGGTAAAATCGGAATTTTTTTAGAGTTGCGGTGTATAACAGCCCAGCTGCACTTCAGCCTTCTCCCACACACCTATATGTAAGAGATAGAGATAGTACTTCTTTCTGACCAAGTTAATTCTGAAATTAAACCCAGTTTTCCAAGACAACAATAACTTGATGCATGTCAATCTTCCACAAAATTAGCCGATAAAACATAGATATTTCCTGCAAACTAAAAGATGTTAACTGCAGCCAACTTCTAAAGCAGCCAACTCCACACTCATCACCATTAAACACATTAAGATAAAAAGAAACTTTAGTTGAATCCACCCATTCACCAAGTTAAAAGAAGATTTAAGAACTTTTAGTAGAAGCAAATCGCTTTTGAAGACAAAAAAGCAAAAATGAGAAAAATAGGCGTGTTCTTTACCTAGCTTTGGTTCTTTCCATTGTGTTTGCTATGCCATATAGGATTTTATGGAGCTATTATTGAGTTGCACACTCAAAGTCAAACATAATATTTGTATTATTCAATAAGTTTGAAAATATTAATACAAATATCAATCTCAGTTATTAACAGAGAAATAAATGTCAGATGCTAATTATTTCATTTATCCCAAATGACAAAAAATAAAGTTAATATATGTAGAATTTTTAACTTGAAAACTTACATTATCAACTTTTAATACTGATATAACTAACCCTCAGCAGATCAAAATGAAAACAGAATAAAATACACCCTATTTACATAATAGTATAAAAATGGTCCCTCTGTGTTCTGAATTAACAATGATTTAGTCCATTTTTTTCAATTTTGGTCCTTAATTAAGGTTTGACGGACCAAAATTTATATGAAACCTTGAATTCAATGTTAAAAATCATAAAGCATATGGACCATTTTGTAATTTACTCTTTGCATAATTCACCTGATTTTCAATGTTTCTTTTAAATAAAAATCAAATAGGGTGAATGTTACTTTGTTCGGGATATGCAAAGCCCTCGTTGATGATTTTTCCCTTGGCCCATACTCTGACTTGCCCTTGATTTTTCCCTGCATATTGGCGTCCTTGGATCTTTGCAATGGTGAGGAGTACCTACCACCTACTGCAATTCCACAAAATGCAATTTAGAAATAATCCAATAATTAGAGGTGGGGGAACAAACCTGTCATGAAATAGTATACTACCTTGATGATCATTGTTCTTGTCCTTGTTGACATAAATTTTTCGGTAAGTGATATGGTGAGTACCAAGGAGTTTTTCAAGGAAAAAGACATAAATACACACCTATACAACTTATGTGAACGAAAAAAGACAACATGTAAACAGAAACAAAGAGAAGAAAAAGGTAAATCAACTAACCCCCTTTTACGGACTTCATGTTTTTCCTCTGTAAAGTTGACCTAGGACCATCAGTAACACCCTATTTCATATTTCTTTACTTGAAACAACAATAACCTACTCACTGCTAACATATTGGTGTATTATTAGACCAGGTCGAAAATACAAAAAAAAAATTAATATGAACAAAGATGAAGCTTCGAAAATTATTAAATGATTTATATGCATTAAATTAATTTCAAAGAGTCGGACCTTTGTAGGTACCATCTTCGTGTTCCACCAGTTCCTTCATTTTTTTCTCAGATCAGAAAGAGGTCTCCAGTGGGATGTTTGATGCTGGTGGTTTATGGTTGTGTGGGTCTGATTACATAGGTCGAGTGAACAGAAAGGGGTAGGGGTTTACAGGGAACACACATATATCTGTCATATTAAACACATATTCGATTTTTTAGAAATCAAAATAGATCAGGAGAGTAGGTGAGAGGAGAAATCGTAATTCGCAACCTCAAACAATTGCGATTATGTTAAAGCTTGCCTGGTTCTTATTACGGATGAAATGAAGTCACCAGTGAGGGAAGCAGGAGAGGGCGGTGAGTGGATATAAAAGAAGCATCGATTATAAACCCTATAAAAAACATCATTCGTAGAGTTCTTACGGGCACATCTATCGCTTCAATTGGCCTTTGACCGATTCAATTGCGCGGCATCGAAGGAATACCGGTTCTTTGACCGATTCCAATTCAAATTCTAGTGTGGTTCAAATTTGATTTTTGTTGATGGTAGGCGGAGGAGGGCAGATGCGGAACCTTAACTGGGCCGGTGGGAGAAAATGAGGAGTCTGAGATAAGGAGGGGCATCTGGGTTTTCTGGAGGACGGAGGTTGAAGAGGGCATCTAGGTTTTCTGGATTTGAGAGAGGAAAGAAGGGGGAGCATGTTTGAGAGAGATGGCGATGGTGAGTAGTTGAAGGCAACATCGTGTTGACTGAAATGAGAGAGGAGTTGCAATATAGAGTGTACCTCTTGTTGACCGATTCCATCAGCTGAATGTGAGGAAAAACCCCATTTCATTTTGATTGATTTACATTTTGGAAGAGTTTGTTCAGCTTGAGACCCGCTTAGCATTGACCTTATCAGTTTGACCGGATTACTTATTATGTAATGCATAAAGTTGCTGTAAATGCTGCTTTAAGGGATGTACCTCTTAAAATTCGGCATTTTGGGCTAAATGCTTATATATATATATATATATATATATATATATATATATATATATATATATATATATATATTATATATATATATATATATATATATATATATATATATTTCAAAAGTTATGTTAACTCATTCTAGTCAAAACGTATGATTTTTTTAAAATTTAAATCATCTATATTGGGTAAGATAAGGATGTAGGTTTGAATGTTTCAATATTAATTTTACATTTATACTTAATGCATTGTATTTTGTAATTTGTTGATAAATGTTTGTACATTCAGCTTAAAGGTTTGGACGTCTTAAATCTATTTTTAAAAATAGTAAGGTTTGTATAATAAGATAATATATATATATATATATATATATATATATATATATATATATATATATATATATATTTTTTAGAATCACATTAAAATAAGTTGAGTTTTTATAACTAAATATTTATATTTGGTTTTTGAAAAATTAATTATTTATTTGTCATCTTCTCTTTGTTTTATTTTGTTCAGGGGAGCATTGTGGTGCAAGAGAAAAACTATGGCTGACGCGAGTAGACTGAAGAAGAGCTCTGCAAATTTCTTCATCGTCGTCTTTAATCTCTCTCTCTCTCTCCTTAGTTTTGCATATTATAAACACACATGCAAGTAACTACAGCTACATATGGTCAACATCTTACAAATTATATGACTATTTAGGTACTCTTGCTGTTGTATTATATGTTAAACATCGAAGATCGTTGCCAATTGGCTATGAAATAGACATTCAACGTTACTTAACTAGTTTTATATTGCATTATTTTATGACGTTTACAATATATTGCAGTCTCTGATCTTTGATATCACATATAAAATTAGGTTTGTTTGAAGCTGCTAACCAGTTAGCTTTTGGACCTTTTGCCGTCCGAATCGTATTATAATACTCATAGAATTCTGTAATTAGTAGTTTAATATTACTCCCCTCAGACATTTTGTCAAGTTACTGTATCTGATTTGTTGCTTATTAAAAGTGTTTGATCGATTCGTGAGGTTTTCACAGCGATAATAGTTTGTCGAAACTCGAAAAGGAGAATTCATTTCAGGTGATAGAAGCGATGAAAAGGAACAGAATTCGAGGACCTTGGGATTTCGAGCATGAACTTACCGGCGGTCGTCAGAAATTGATACTCGGATTGGACGGCGGGACTACCGACACGGTGTGTATATGCATGCCGATTACTCCTTTCACTCCGAATCATAATCCTCTTGAAGCTCCTCCGGTTTATGCTCGAGCTGTTGCCGGTTGTTCTAATCACAATAGTGTTGGAGGTACCCATTCTTCTCTTCATCTATCGCGACTTTTTCTTATCATCTATATGGATCATGGATGTGTATTAAACGACTGTTCTTCCTTTATGAAATAGCAAAATTTTGTTACAATTATCCAAATGCATAGCCTAGGGTTAAAAATTGAGTACTTCAGTTCATGAAGATTGTTTCTGAATCAAATCAATGCTACCTACAAGGCTACAAATTTAGTTGATATAGAATCTTCATACAAAAGTCAAAAGTGTAATGTTATGATTTAGGTATAGTGACATTAATGGTTATTTCATATGATTTACAGAAACTGCTGCAAGAGAGACACTAGAACAAGTTATGGCAGAAGCTCTTTTAAAATCAGGATCTACTAGATCTTCTGTTCGAGCTGTTTGCTTAGCTGTTTCTGGAGTTAATCATCCAACAGATCAGCAAAGAATTTTAGATTGGCTTAGGTTAGTTTTTTTTATATATTGTTAAGAAATTGTTAATAGTTTCCCTTGTTTATTTGCTCTACATTCTATAAAATGCAAGAACATTTTTGAGATGATGTGTTTTATTCGGATCTATTTAGCTTTTTTTGTTCCATTTTGACCCTTGTTTGTTGTATGTGTTTTTAAAAAATTCAGAGATATATTCCCGAGTGATGTTGAATTTTTTGTTGAGAATGATGCTGTGGCAGCTTTGGCTAGTGGAACAATGGGAAAACTTCATGGGTGTGTTCTAATTGCTGGAACTGGAACCATTGCTTATGGATATACTGAAGATGGGAGAGAAGCTCGGGCCTCTGGTGCGGGACCCATCTTAGGTGATTGGGGAAGGTATCACATACAAATTTTTACTACTTGAATGCAAGAAATAACAATTTATTTTTATTTATTTGTTTATTATAGCATCTTACTTTGAAAATTTTACCTAATTATAGCAATGTCATCCAAATACAAAGCGATTTTTATTGCTATAATTGGGTAGATTTTAGATTTATCAAAGTAATGTCATCCAAATACAAAGGTGTAATAGAAAAATGATGAAAGTAGGATATTATATATTTATATTATATTATACAAATAAATAAAAGTACATTGCTGTTTCTTGTATATGTGTAGTGGATATGGTATAGCTGCAAAGGCTTTGACAGCTGTAATAAGGGCTTATGATGGGCGTGGCCCACAAACACTGCTTACATGTAGCATGTTGCATGAGCTCCAACTTTCTTCTCCAGATGAACTCATTGGGTATTTCTTTCTTCAACTTTTCACTTTCTATATCTTTTTTTTTTTTTAATATTATATTTAGATTCAACTCACCATATTTGAATTTGAATTTGAATTTGAATGGCAGGTGGACTTATGCTGATCCATCGTGGGCCCGGATTGCAACTCTAGTCCCGGTTGTTGTATCGTGTGCAGAAGCAGGGGATGAAGTTGCAAATGACATATTGCTTCATGCTGTTCAAGAGTTGGCTTCTAGTGTTAAAGCTGTTGTTCATAGACTTGGGTTGTGTGGAAAAGGTTCATTTCAAAATCAAAAACACAAAAATCAAAAATCAAAAAAATATCAACCTACTTTTTAATATACATACTTAGTCATTATAATTTATAAACATTTGGTAGAAAAGTGTTTTGACTTTCTTGACTCCAGTAGTCAGTATCTTGGGTTAATAAAACGATGCTAAACCATTTGCAAAGTATATTATTAATGAAAAATCAACTAAATAAAACAATATGCTAAACCATTTTGTTCTTTAGAAAAGGTTTATTAAAGTTGTAATGACCCAATAAGTTCAAATTATACATCCGTCTTAAATATCAGGAAATGCAATAATTACATTTTTTGTCCCTATAGTTTTTAATTTAGGAAATCACTGAAATACACTTTGGCTCCCTGTAGTTTTGATGCATTAATTACATTTTTGGTCCCTGTAGTTTTCAATTTGTATTAATTACAGTTTTGGTCCATGTAGTTTTTAATTAAGGAAATGACTGAATTACAGTTTTAGTCCCTGTATTTTAATTACAGTGGTTTTTAATTTTCATTAATTACAGTTTTGATCCATGTAGTTTTTAATTAAGGAAATGACTGAGTTACAGTTTTAGTCCCTGTATTTTAGTTACAGTTTTGGTCCCAGAATTTAAATTACAGTTTTAGTCCCTGTAGTTTTTAATTTTCATTAATTACAGTTTTGGTCCATGTAGTTTTTAATTAAGGAAATGACCCAATTACAGTTTTAGTCGATGTATTTTAATTACAGTTTTGCTCCCCGTAGTTCTTAATTTTCATTAATTACAGTTTTGGTCCCTGTAGTTAATAAATTGTTTTAATAAATAGGTCATGTCTATGCTTTTTTTTTTTAATTATTTTGTGTATATATAGCTCAAATATATAAATTACACACGTAATCTTACTTGCCAATATTTTGTGTTGGTTTATTCAGATGACAAAAATACATTTTTAAAAGTTTTTGAAGGAACCAAACTTATTATATTATAAAAATAACAAGCACGAAATAATATTGATTTAAATTAATTGTTTTTCAGATGGAAAGGATACTTTTCCACTTGTAATGGTTGGTGGTATTCTTGAAGCAAATAGAAGGTGGGACATAGGAAAAGAAGTAATCAGTTGCATTGCCAATGACTTCCCCGGGACCCACCCAATTCGACCAAAGGTAACTATAATAATAAACTCAAGAAATAGCATCCTACTTTCATTGTATGTGTGGTTTTTGTTTTTTTTTAAATATTAAAATCATTTGTGTTATGATTCCTTAAGGTGGAGCCCGCTGTTGGAGCAGCATTGCTTGCGTGGAACTATTTAATAGAACAAGCACAGCTGGACCAATCAGATGGAGACTATGATTAAGTTTAAGCCATAGCTAGTGGAATTGCAGCCAGAAAGTTGATGTCTAATGATTATAAAGTTGTATAGTTTCAAGGGAATATAACAGATAAAGTGTAGAGAAACAAAAAAAAAAAGAACCATTTTTACTATTGCTATTAAATGATTGTTGTGAGATTTTGTATTGTCTTATGTTTACATAGTTTTAGTTACTGAAAAACTATGTTCGTAATATGTGTTACATCTCTAATACCCTTTTACGTATGGGTCAACAAGTCAATCAAGTAAGTCAAAATTGTTAGTCAAACTGTCGAGAAATAGGAGGGAAATTTTGTTTTACAGTTATTTGTCACTTGCTGCTCTATGTAAATGGGATTCATGATGAGGTCTTATGATTTATATGTCAATTCATAAACGGGTTAAGGCTAGAAATAGGGGTTGAAGTTCGCACCAATTATATTCATCAAGCCATGACATTAGCAACAATAGTGGAGGAAAGACGCAAAACGTTACACACAGGTACATTACTAGAAAAATAATTCCAATTTTTAAAAGAATTCATGATCATTTGGTGGGTGAAAAGTTGAGTCGAGGATCAATATTAATTCAGAAGCTGAACAGAAAAGGATTGGGAGAATAGTGAAGATTATCCGATAAAGAATTTGAAATTAAAAGGCAACAAGGCATAAAAAATCAATGTAGCTCTCTTTCGGAAAAAAATAATAAAAAAAAAATCAATGTAGCAGTGATACAAGAAACAATCCAATAAACGGACGAAGACTTTGATGATAAAGATGCAGGAATATCAGTTGACCGGAAAGAAAATGAAATCAATGTAATCCTTAATTCTGTATTTGGATTCATAAGGGTAACCGTTGTTGTAGAACAAATAGACAAACAATCAATCGGGCAAATAATATTGAAAATGACATGTTGATTAGCTGCGGATAATAAATCCTGTTATTATTGTTATTATTATTATTATAGTTACCAAGTTGCGTCCGAAAATCAGGTCGATCATTTACGATCATGTCTGATTATAAGAAAGGGAGAAGGAAGTTTGTCCCATTGTCAGAAGAATTAAAATAACAGAACAATAAATTAAAACCAACATCGAGTTGTTGATCTTTGATTGGTAAAAGACTACACAAAAGAAGATCTTGTCCTTAAAGGTTTTTACGTCGTTCTAAGGTTGTAAGCTTCAATGTAAACACCCTGGATTTGATGGAGAATATTCTTCGTTCCAACAACTATAGAAGAAAAGATAAACACAAAGCGATTACTTGGAAAACGGAAGAACTCTAATTTTGTTGTTTGCAAAAAACACAAGCGTGGACCGGAATTCACATGAGAACGCAAAGACCAGATGAAGCAGAAGTACCCTCACCTATTTCCCTTATTCATGAAACTATCCTTCGAAAGAATTTCGGGACGAAATCCCCTCTAATGGGGGGATGATGTCACAACTAGCATTTTAGCTAGGAAATGCTATTCTCATGTAATCATTCAACTATTGTAAAGCATGTACCCTAAATGAATATCACTCAATGCTCATTCAAATACATCTCTCATGTTCAACTAAGGGTTGGAAACCCTAGAAATCCCGGTTCAAATTTATTATGGACTAGGATCCTCTTATTGGGCCTTTTGGGCCAATAAATCTTCAATTAGACTATTTTGGGCTTAGAAACCCTAATTGGGTTCTAAATGGACCCAATTCATAAATCTATAACATTTTAGACCATTTGGGTCTAGAATGATTCATTCTAACCCTAATGGGCCTTATTGGGCCATAAATGAATTAATTAGCCCTAATGGGCCATAAACCCATTCCTTTATACCATATTGGGCCGTGAACCACCTTAAGAGCCCAATGGGCCGAAAAATATTATTAAGCTTCATAAATTCGAGCAAGCCAAGAAAAAGGATCTCAAAACCATTTCATCCTCCTTCCTCTTATGTGACAACCCGAAAATTTTTAAAATTTTTTCCTTGTAAAGCTCAGCCCGTCACTCAACTGAGTGTCAGACTCATTTCTGCTATCATTTAGCCTCGTTTAGAGTCCGTTTAAAGGTTCAAAGCTCAGTACATTCAAGCCTCGAATATAGGATTTGATCGCGTACACTTCTGGCATCAAAATCGGACCATACACTCCAACAGGAGGAGTGTACGGTCGCACACTTGGGTGTGCGGCCGCACACCCCTCTCCTGGCAGCACACTCACGTGTACAAAGGAGGGGTTTAGCCCTCATTCATCCCTTTTCACACTCCTAAGCCTAGAACTCGAATTCTCTCTCAACTATCATCCGATTTTCAGCCTAAATCTTCAAAAATGTAAGTGTTCTTCCTTTGATTTGTTGTTAATCTCCTTAATCTAGTAACACTCTTTGATTTCATCCATTGGAAATCATGTTTTGGCTAGATCTTCAAATCTTCAACCATTTCACCAAGAACACACACTTGTTCTTGGCGATTTTGAGCCTTCTCGAGCCTCCGGATCGTAAGTACTCTTCCCCTTTGCTTGAATCTTGTTTAGAACACTTGATTTAGTCTTAGAAAATGTCCAGAACTCAAGAACATATGGTATGTGCGGCCGCACACACAGGTGTGGTCGTACACCCCTCAAACACCCTCAAAACACTCCTAAAGGCTTCTATATTGCAAGTACCATTCTCTAAGCTTGTTACTTACTAGATATGAGCCTTAGAAAACGTCCAAACCATGTTCATCAAGGAGTGTGCGGCCGCACACACTCCATGTGGCCGTACACCCCTTTGTTTAGTGCTTAAGGGCCTCCAAAGTGCCTTTCTAGCTTCAACACTTGATGAGCATCAGTCCTACAAGCCTCTCTACCATTTGGAAAACGTTTTGTGCACTCTTTACCATGAGTGTGCGGCCGCACACCCATGGCCGCACACTCCTCAAAGTGGCCGTACAGTCCCTTTTAGTGAATCACATGTGATTCCAACACTTGGTCAAAGTGTTTCCTAGTCCCGTAAGGTGTTTTCCTTGCATGTGATTCCAACACTAAGGAATCATAAGGGGTACCAGGTATGGGCCAGGTTATAGGACACTAATTCAATGCACTGTTTTCTAGTACACAAACATACTTTTCAAACAAGAACTTATGGTATACAAAGCTAGAAACTTACCAGTAAAGGGTTTAATCCATTTTTATTAAACCAGTATAACTTAAAGGACCTTAGGTGGTTAACTCTATAATACCTTAGTTTATACATCAGGGTTATATATAATTAATATCCGATAGATAGTTGGATGTGTGCCTTCCACCTCATTTCCTATTCCTTGTTTGGTTGTTGGCTTAGGTCAGATTCACACAATTAACTATCTATTCGATATTAGATTCTATAAAGCTAGTATAAACTAAGTGATTATAGAAGAAACTACTGTGGTTACCATTTTTACTATAAGAAATAAGGGTTTTCTTAAAGGATCTTTCATTCAAATATAAAGGAACTATTACAGTTAACTCCGTGAGTACCAAGTGAATACGCCAGGTTTATATACAACGATGATCTAACAAACAATGGGATGTGTGTCTTCCGCCTCATTTCCTGTTCCTTGTTTGGTTATGGGCTTAGGGCAGATACACACAACCGATTGTTTGTTTACTCTGGGTTTTATATAACTTGTATCCATTTAGTACTCATAGAAAGGACTGTAGAGTCATTTTTACTTATCTTTCATCAAAGCAGGAAATATAGGATTTCTTGGAGGAACAGGCAAACTTTTCTAAACATAACTTACTACAACTTACTATCACGTACTACAACTTTCTACAACTTTCTTACTATTTACAACATCACTTAAATCTTATGAACTCACCAGCTTAAATGTTGATCTACGCTTTCAAAATAACTTGTATTCTCAGGGAGACTAGTAGACAGGTTCACGCACTGGGATTCAGAAGATGGAGCAGTATAGCTTCATGTCTTTATGTTATTTGCTATGTATTCTATATTATGTGAATCACATACTTTGTAAACACTTTTTTTCTAATGACATGGTTGTTTATTACTTTGCTTACTATGATGCATGACTTGTGATACTAAACATGACGTCCTCCACCCCCAGAACGTTTCCGCCGTTCCGGTTTTGGGGTGTGACATCTTAGCCCATTCTCGGCCCATATAGTTATTTAAACAAAAAAGAGGGATTATCCTCCCTTGACACCTCATTGTTGCATGGTGGATTTCCATGCAACATCACCTCAAATCTCTCTCCTCTTCCCCCCTTCTTCTACTCACGGCCGAGACACCCACCACCCACCTCCATTTTCTCATTTCAAGCTACTTCAAAACACTCTCTAGAACTCCTCCTTCTTCCATCAAAATTTCGAGATTTGTGGGTGCTTTCAAGAGGATTCTTCACCAATATCATCATCCTTGGTAAGTTTTTGCTTAGATCCATGGTTTAGTTTCTTGATTACATCAAAAATCTCCTCTTAACTCATGTCATTTCGTGATCTTGCTTCTTAGAACCCATCTAAGCCCAAAACCCTCTCAAGAAGCTTGCTAGGGCCGAGAATCACATCATCTTCTTCCATTTCTTCTTCAAACCGAGAACAACAAAGCAAAGTGAGTTCATACCCCCTTTTTTTCAGTTTTATATTGTTTTAGGGGAGAATACAAGTCCCTATGTGTTAGATCTATGTATTTGTGCATGTTATGTGTGTTTCTTGGTTTAAGTTGTGATTAATTGATGAAACACTATAGATCTCGAAAATTTCCAACCAAAAGTTGTGATATTTTGTAATCTAAAACACTTCAAACAACATATTATGTAGTTAGATAGGTTAAACATGTGAAGATTCATAAGAAGTTAAACAAAATCTTGAAAAAGGGCCATTTTTGAACAAATATACAAAAATATGAGGTTTTATGATACTTGCGGTTTTTATAAGGGTTAAAAGAGATATTTCCTTTTAAAAATAAGTCTTTATGTTATTCTTAAGATCAAAGGGGCCAAAAGTGTAATTTTTCACATAATGGGCCAAAATATGGGCCTTCACGGTTATTGGGCCCAAAATGTAAAAATTGTGGTTTTTATGGACTAAAATGTCATTTTATACAAATTTGAGTAAAAAATGTAACTTACGGTTTTTATGGGCTGGAAATGACCCTTATTTCAAATTTGGGCCTAAAATGTTATTTAT